AGAAAGAGATATGTGATATGCATAATGCAAATTAGCATTTTAAACATTTCTTTATTTCGATATTAATAATAAAATATATTCTTTGCTTTCTTATAACTTTTAACTCAGAATGAAGGGAAAAAATAGTGAAATAGAGAAATATTTGCAATAAGTTAATTTATAATTAACGATCTATCTTAATTACACTACAATTATATAATGAAAGACCTTGAAAATGCAAAACACGTATAGGGTAAAACGCATTGACTATTTCTAAAAAGTCAGAGTATACTGTTGATTAAAAATCATTGATATTTAATAACTTTTAAAAATATTAGATTAGTCTGTTCTTATGATCTTAAAAGAAATAATTTTGTGTTTCTTTCTTTTAAAATTAACATATATCTTATAAATAATTGCAAAATATCAGATATGAAATTATATATACGAAAACACATAGTTGCCGTTCATGTTATAAACTTACTATATGAAATGGTTTCGCAGTTTTCTCGAGCTGTAATTATATCACCTGATAAACATCATGAAATGTAAATAAAATCACGATTTGATTAAAAGATTTTGTAAGTAATTATAGATAAAAATCTATAGCATCATTTTTCGCATATTGCGATATAATACAAATTTTAAACTGAGATCCTTCATAAATAGATTTCCATAAAATGTATTTCTTTTAGGAAATTTAATGAATAACTTATAAATGGAACACTGACGTTGATAATTGGAATGGGAATTAATGCTTTTATGTATAAAAAACCTTAGAAGATTTTAAAGTTTCTGCCTTAAAGCTGTAATTAAGTGTTTTGCTAGTTCTTTTTCTTATTTTAGTAACCATTTAAGAACAAAATATAAAATAAAATAATATAAAATATAAACGCAAAAAAGAAAAATTGTATTTTCCTTTTTTAAATTATAATCATACCTTTTTTTATTCAATAATAATGAGAAAAATATGCATTTAAACAATTTCCAAAAAGATGGGGGAATAGTATCATTTTAAAATGTAGTTATTAAATTTGAATATATATTAATTCTGCTCTTTATTTAAAGTTATGCTGTGTCTAAACAGTAACTAGTAATAACCTATTTCTAGGAAAAGTATCATTTTAACTATTTTAGAAATGCCTAAATTTACTTAAAAAAAGTATTTAAAATTAGTTTATTTTTGTATATCTTGAACTCTAGTTTTGAGATTGTCTAGAATTGAGTTTTGAGTAATATAATTTGATGACAATGTTTAAAAACTCTATACAAAAAGTCAAGACATGAAAATACAATTTGGGATTATCTGGCTACATATATCTTTAGAAACTAAAAATTGTGAAGAAACAAACTTAACACTTTCAATACTCTAAATTTCAGAAGAAAAAAAAATTCCGAAGATTTTCATGATTATGTTACTTATTTGTTCATAGATTTATGTATATTCATATAATAATAAACTGACAATATTAAAAGAAAATAATTAGACATTTCTGTTTTCTCTAGTCATTAAATTTGTTGAAAGTGTAAAATAGTTAAATTGAAAATGTTAAAATAGTTGAACTTTTTAGAATTTAAGCAAATCCTGGTAAATCTCTCGTGAATGACAAATTACATTTTAAGAAACTAGCGACGAAATTAACGATTTAAAATAAAATACGTTCCATATCTTATGATGATATATAACTATTATTTCTTAATTTTGCAATATACATATTAATGTATTTTATAATACAAAAATTTATTTCTGAAAATGAACTAAACTAACTATAATAGTCATTAAAGAGTGCGATGAAAAAGCCCAGGGAAAATTATTGCGTCATAGAATAGAACTATATGAATTTCTTTTTAATTTGTGAGTTAACTTCCTTTTCTCAATCACTTTAGTTATAATAGTACATCTCTTAGTTTTCGCATTGTGCTTCGACTTTTTTTTATAATGTCAAGCAAAACATTTTCGACTTTAGAGTCGTTTAAGCAAAGTAAACAACAGAGCGAAATTGTTCGCATGCTCTGTGCACAATTGTTTTATACTAGTAATTTACTTGATATTATAAATATGCGACATCATGATCCTAATCCATTGCTGAATGTAGGTGTTCTCAAAACTTTTTCATGTCTGCTGTCTTTTGCTTGCTCCTGTAGCACATACAGATTAAAAAGAAAATTCATTTTAACACAATGTACAAACTTCGACATCATTATTTTAATAGTGATAATGGTGATTTATAAAGTTAATTGGCGACATGCTACATCTAAATCTTGTTCGATATCTTGATGACACTGGATACATTCTAATAAATTAAACTGGATTCTTAGTCTAAACCATACCTTTGGTGTGGTTTAGCTTTCTTTTGCACCAAAAACTCAAAACTTACGAACTCCAATTCACTCGGGATTCTTTTCTAATTTCGCTGCACCATCTTGCTTGTAGTTGCCTTCTTTGTCTTTTTATGACTTGAAGATATCAATGCAAGATACTGTAAGTTCAGTGATCGCAACTTCTTCATGGTACATGACCGGATTGACGTTTAATTTTGTCCCATAGCCTAACTTTTAACTTTAACTTTTAACTCGATAGCATCGAAGTTTTTTTATTGACCTTCTAAGTGATTTTACTCGTTTTTGATCTTTTATTCGAGAGACATTAAAATAATTAAACATTTAAACATATTTAAACATAAACTATTATCATTCAACACAGCATCACACATATTAGCACACTTTTCTTAAGTAGTTGTAGCAGTGAGTAGTTCCAATAGTTCAAAAGTTCTGCTCTAGAAAAATAGTGAGTAAAGCAGATTGATTGAATTCATTCCTCTACAGACCTAATAAAATCAATTGGCAATTTTTTAAGAAGAAGTTTCCCTTCTGGTACAGTTGGCGTAATTTTAAATTTCAGTTACGATTATTGAATTTAAATGGAGAATGACTGTCGGAATTAATGGCAATGCTAGGTTGAGCCCTATAGGATACTTCACGTTTTGTCGTGGAATTTTCATACTGTTTTCATACTTTAGCTACACAGATGATGCAGGTTTTAGTTCCAGATCTGATTGTTGAACTTAAAGGGACACTAACAGGTTCAGCCCAGCTGGGACAATGCGTGTTTTGCCGTGGAATCTTCGTAAAGTTTTTTTTCCTTATCTTTACGGTCTGAACTTTATAAGTGTATTAGTATATCATGGGCTTAAAGCGCATATTTGTCAGGCAACAGTAAAATTTAAACTGGTTGTATAGCTAATGAACGCAATTGAATCGAATGCAAATTACCTTCATCTGAGAACCATATTCAAAATAAGTTTGCCTGAATACTTTATATGGAGGTATTTGTAGCTTCTGTCTAAAGAATTGAATTTAACGACAAGAACAGGATTGGAAATATATATATATATACAATAAAAATAATTAAAAGCGTTTAAAACTAAAATGACTTTTAAAATGTACTTTTGAAAATTATGCAACAAAATATTCAAAAAGTACTAAATAATATTAAATTTTATTTGTTTCTATAATACTTAATATTATACTTACTTTTCAAATTATTATTTATTTACCTGGAAATACTTAATTTAAATCAACATCTTGCAAACAAATATTGTTATAAAGTATATTGATTCAAAAAACGATTAATAAAGTGAGTATCTTATTCTTTTTTTAGTGTAAAATCGTACTGCAATTCTAATTAAGCATTTAAATCATTAATCTATCTACCTATATGTGTTCTTTGAGCATCTAATCGAAATAATTATGCATTCAAATCGTTTTGGTGTAATTTGGGTGTTTCAATCATGTTCCACCATCAATTTTATCCTTTTCATCATTACATAAAGATGAAAATGATAAACCTTGTTGATATTCCAGTTTAGATCTAAATTACTCAAATAATGAAATAAGAAAACATATTGGCGCCAACATTCCATTTGCGAGTAATTGATGATCATGTTTTCAATTATTTATGATTTTGTTATTATTAATTATTTGAAGGAAAGCTCAAAAGGGATATTCAATTCTTTTCAAATACGCTATTCCATAATTCATTATATAGCAATAAAAGAATGCATTTTAATGGCGTAAAGAGGTTCCCAAAATTGACCCTAATGAATATCCAGCAAAAATGACATTGAAACCAAAGAAAGGGACAAAAAACTAAGTAAACTTTCATTAAAAAAGTATTTCACTCCAAAAAATCATTNAAAGAAAAGTAGTATATCTTGCAATCAAATATTGTTAAATATTGTTATTGATTCAAAAAACGATTAATAAAGTGAGTATCTGATTTTTTTTGGGTAAAATCATACTGCAATTCTAATTAAGCATTTAAATCATTAATATATCTACCTAAATATGTTCTTTGTTCATTTAATCGAAATAATTATGCATTCAAATCGCTTTGGTGTAATTTGGGTGTTTCAATTATGTTAAACCATCAATTTTATCCTTTTCATCAATACATAAAGATGAATATGATAAACCTTGATGATATTCCACTTTTGATCTAAATTACCCAAATAATGAAATAAGAAAACACATTGGCGCCAACATTCCATTTGTGAGTAATTGATGATCATGTTTTCAATTATTTATGATTTTGTTATTATTAATTATTTGAAGGAAAGCTCAAAATGGATATTCAATTCTTTTCAAATACGCTATTCCATAATTCATTATATAGCAATAAAAGAATGCATTTTAATGGCGTAAAGAGGTTCCCAAAATTGACCCTAATGAATAACCAACAAAAAATGACATTGAAACCAAAGAAAGGGACAAAAAATAAGTAAACTTTCATTAAAAAAGTATTTTACTCCAAAAAATCATTATTGAACGAATCTAATAACAAAAAAACTCTTTACAAAGTAACGGGTGTTGGTAAAACTGTTACTTAGGAATCGACACATTAACCCTATTGACAAATGGTCAATTGCAATTCACCATATGACATCATTTGATATCCATCTGGCAGGAAAAAAAACACATTCTCATGCGCCTCCTTTTGATTCTGAGGGAAAGTCTTACAACAAAAGGTCAAATTTCTGAAAAAGGGGCTTCTTTGTAATTGTAATGGAGATAAAGTTAACACAGGAAAAGTGTTATTTGTTCTAAAAGGTAGGAGGCGTAATTTTTTTTAGCAAGGCCGCACGGATTCGACATAGATTTTTTTACTACAGCTTTGATTGGTTGTCAGAAGTGTTAAATGCGTTAATTCATTTTCTTCTAGCGAAACAGTGTATATAAATATAGAATTTTGATGAAACAGAAAAGCTAGGGGATTTTTAACTTTTTATAACAATTTTTGTATAGTTTACGCAAGAAGAGTATCTTTTTACCAATTGAAAGCCCTAGTAAGTTTTTTTTCATGCATATTAAATATGTTAATATTATTTATAATTTTATGTAAGATTTAGCACATTTAATGTATTGTTTTAGGTGTTTTGAAAACTTTCTTCTCGCGAAACAGTCTGTAATTTAAAAGTAAAATTTCAATAAAACGGAAAAGTCTCGAAATGTTCGCCTTGTAAAATTTTTTACATTTCTTGACGCACGAAGTGTTTTATTTATACATTTTTGTTTACAGTGTTACGACTTGTTTTCCTTTATTAATAAATTAAATTTTTTCTGGTACACTAAATTATTAAAATTGACGGAAATACAATTTTATTCAAAACTTTTAATTTCTAGCAAAGTATTTAATAACTTATACAATTTATAAAGATTTAAAAAAAGCATGTTTTTTAATTTCTAATTAAGTTAAAATGCCTTTTTAATAACACCTGGTTTTTTATAAATTAATAAAAAGACATTTACCTCAACGGTGACTCATAAACCCACTACGTATCATCTAAAACGTAGTATATTAACTATTTTATTTCGGTATAGTACTCGTTCTAATAATAATAGTACATATCTAATAATAATTGTTTATTATTAGATATGTAATAACGAAAACCTTTAGGAAAACTTATCATTAACATTGGTCATTAATAATGATTTAACATCAAAATATAACGCATAGGATATTTTATTGAACGTATACTCATTTTAGCAACATTTTAAAAAAAAGTAATTTTAAAATGCACAGAGAATGGAATGCTTACCAAACTTTACAAGAAAATTTTACATTAATTCATGAGTAATGATTATATCTATAAACAAAACGGTGGTCTTATTATCAAGTTATCCAAGTGGTGTGACTCACAGATACAATCTTTATTTCGAACGTAATTCTAACGTAATTTCTATTTCTGCGGTAAACTAAAAATAGTTATCTCATTACAATAATTTCATTTTTAAACGTCTGTAGTAAGAAAACAATCCTAACATGGAAACATTATGAAAATTTACTTGAATAAAATATAATATGCTTAAACTACAAATTGGAGATAAATTTTTAATTTTCTGGAAGTAAATCACTTAATTTACAATAGTTTACCTGTTTACTTAATTTCTGCGATACAATTTAAAGTATATTAGCAGAAGGTACTGGGTGAGTACAGTTTTAACATGATGTATTATAGCTTTTCTAGACTATAGCTTTCGTTTTTCAGAAAGCTGTAAAACAATAACTATTCAGAAAGACCAAAAATGTGACCTGCGTATTCACATATAAAGGCAAACATAGGATATATGAAAAAAATAGTTTGAAATATTTGCGATAAATGGCAATTTAGTCATATTGCAAATGGTTATTACTACCGGCGATATAAAAATCCCAGCTAATGAAAGAAATACGATAACATATGGTAATATAAAAAATAATATGCAATGTATAGAACCATGTATAGCAATATAAAAGGAATCAGATAAAATGTTGTAATATGAAAAGGTTATGAATGGATTAAGATAATATAAAAATCTCTTTTCACATTAAATTATGATTAGTTTCAAAACAATCACAAGTGTTATTATAACTAGCATAATCTTACTTTTAAGTTAATGATCTTTTCTAACTTTTGGATTTCTAAATTTAGTTATAAACTTTTACTTTTTACGTAACTGAACCTAGAGTTATGCAACTACAAGTTCCAATCTGAAAATAAATCATTTTGCTAAACATTAATAAAATCTCATCTGCATACTACACCTTAAAATAAGCATTTTTGTGCATGCATTGCGTAATAAGTATTATGCATATGCTGTTTGAGGTATGTACTAAAATAAAATGCACAAATTAGCTTTGGTAAACCTGATGCATATTTTGACAATTGACTAAATAAAATTTATTTCTCAAATTACATTTGGTGAATTATCTCACAAAAAAACTGATAATAGTTATATTTCTTATATAAAATGCCTTCATAATTAACCCTGAAGAAAAATTATGAAGGATATATTTTTTTTCCAAGAATTTTAGATTTCGGCTTAAAACAAAGAAAAGTAGTATATTAATTTTTGAAATTCTGAACATGCCTTGAAGTGCAAGTAAGTTTTTGTGAATTTAAATACATAATTATTTATCTAAGACTTAATTGTGATATTTATATAAAATATTTGATACAAAGAACAAAGTTTATTTATTAATTGCAATAGTTAAATATCTATTGTTTGTATACTGTAAATCCCAAACTAAATATTATTTTCTTCAAAAAATAGGTGTTGAAATAAAGAATGATACTTACAGCAACGTTTACAAGTAAGTTTAATTATAAAATATACAGTTTGAAAACTCAGATTGATATAATTTAACAGCTCACAATACAAATCCGACTTTTATATCATCGCATTAAGTTTCTTGTTGTGTGTGTTGTGTATAATAATCGAATCTATTGGAATAAACTTCTCAATAAATAACGAGAAAACCTGAAGAAGTTGTATTAGTTTCCTTTTTAAATAATACATTTATATAATAGTATCAAAACCAATAGAAAACAAAACAGTTTAACAGTGCAAGGTAATTTAAATAGAACGATTATGCTTCTTAAATCATGTAAAATCACATATTTTTCTTAGCAACAAATTCATATGTGGATCTAATGTTTGATATAATACTAAGAAAAAGAGTATAGTCAAAACGACCAGAATATAGAAACTTTATCATATTTCTGACTCTTTGAGAACACCAAAAAACTCAGTAATTTTTACCGAAGTGGTTTGTTATTGATTGATTTTAAGAAACATTTTGTCTATCTACCTAAATTATTTTCACCAGCTTTTACAATTATCAAAGCATCAGTAATTTTATATAGTACACACTAATTTTAAGAGTAAGCTGTTGATGCTTTAAAGCAGTTTTCATTGGTTTTAAATTTTTCGCGTAAATATTAGCATTAAAAGGCATACAAAATATTCCTGAAACAAACAAGAACATAGAACATACAATAACCATACATTTGTCGTTAATTATTACGTTATTTAATATGCAATCATAAGCATAGTTACTTCAATATTACTTTTTAATGCTCTTTTTTGTTACTAGTAGTTTTTATAATAACGTTGTTTTGTTTAACAAAAAACTTTTGTTTCAAAGATTTGTTTATCTATATGAAAGCAGGTTCGGGTATAAAAATTCTACATCTTGAGGATCAATAACCTACAAGTAACAGTTATTTTTGAAAAAAATTTTGAATAGATTCTCAGTAAAATTTTAAATTAGTTACAGTTATATTTTGACGGTGGAGTTATTTTTTGTGAAAACACTTGACAATACAATTTGAACAGTGCTAACTAAAGCTCGTTTTTTTCAATTATTTACAATCAGCAGTAGTTTACGCTTGATATTATAAACCCATTTTCTATAAATGTATTAAATACCAATGAAAGTAATTCCAATTTAATGTGCATTAAATCTTGTATTACTTGGGACTGTTACGAAATACAAAAAATAAACTCTTCCCACGCAATTACTACGCTAGAGGAAAATATTATTAATAAGATAGAATAAATAAACGTGTGATGTTTGTTGTTTACCCTAAGACGTAGTATAACTTTAAGGGATAAGATTAGGATTTCACGTGATCATATTATTAAATATCTTTTATTTATAAAATAAATTCAGATTTACTTTGTTAATTAATCATTGTTTATTTATCATTTTTATTTTCAGCTTTCCTATGCTGTCTAACAGTAACTTCCGCCTTTCCCAAACGGGTATGTGTGTTTTCCTTTTGATCAGAGATTAGTAAATGATTTTGAGAGTCCCGAACTTCTAATTTCTTAAACAAATTGTTTTTAACAGAAGAAATATTCTCATATGATACGTTTTAGGCTTTTATTGTTTAAATGAATATTACTAAGAAATTTTTTCACTATCGTCTAATATTAACTCCTCAATGCCAGGGCACAATCTTCTCTCCCTTATTCTTGAACTCACGGACTGCAATCAAAACGACATCATGATAAAGGGATCCATATTGATATTGAATTATTTAACAAATAAATTATTGATTTTGAAAAGATCAGAATCATTTATTGAACAAATGATTGAAAGAAGGATATACAACGGAATCTCCATAAAATAAACTCTTCTAACAGAGAATTTCACGTAAGAACGAAGTTTTGAGTTGCAATGTAAATGGCATTTAGAATCTTTGCAAATAACAGAGTATTTGACCATTACAGTTTTTCAGACATATATTAATTCGATTTTTGTCTATTTTAAAGAAAGTTAAATTTGAAAACTTGAATTTTAAAGTTTGTTCGTACAATAAAATTATCTGGAAGAATAAAAATATTACCTACTTTTTAGAAGAGAACAAAGAATTGTTAATTGCTTGAGATTCTATATAGATTTTATATCTATTCTAGATATATTCTACGTATATTTTGAAAAGAGCATTTGACAATGAAATTGAGAGTTGTTTCGTTGGAATATAATATAATGAATGTGTGATAAATAAATATGTGATACATATAAAACTACATTGGACTGAAAATTAAGGATCATTTGAAACTTATTTTTCGCTTACTTTAAAATGGAGCATTTTTATGAAAATTTAAGACTACGAAATACAAATGCATGTAAAACCATAGAATTACTAGCACATATTATTAGTATATATTAAAGAATTGTCTTCCCTTTTAAACACTTTATTTATTCAATAAAAATTAATGGCTTTAAGAAACTTATTGTTAGCATTAATTTTATTTTTAAGTAAAAGTCATGATTATGCACTTTTGATTTTATCATAAGTGAACAAAAACTTTAAGACACTTAGGTTAGCAAATTTTCATCCAAAACTATTCAATTTCGTTATAAAGACTACGCCATGAAAAAATAAATAATTTATTTAATAATATAATTAATAAACTAAGTATGCTTTGCTAGCTATTTAATAAAAAAACTTCAGTCTTTATTCGAGATAGATTTTTTTTCTCGAGAAACCTAAGTGTCAATTTTCTAAAAAGACCGCAAACCCTATTTTGTGGCGGAAACCAGAGGATGGGGCCCCATTGTTCAAATACGTGCTCCAAGTTTAAAATTGAAGAAAAAGAATGAAAATCATATTTGAATGGGAAACTCCTAGATTAAATATAAATAGAAACTTTTATGTGGACATATACTAGTTTTATTACAAAATTCGATTCTTAGAATGAAGTATTTATTATAGACACGAAGAGCTGCCTATGATTTGCCAGATGGAACAAATCTGTTATTAAACGACATTCGTTCAACTTTTTCTTGTGATGGCGATGGATATTATGCCGATGTTGATAATAACTGCCAAATATTTCACGTCTGTCATGGTTTTGAAGAAGGTAGACCACGGTAAGACCAGCATCCTGTTTTTTTTAATTATTCTCTACCAATGAGCTTAAAAATATTTCATTGTAAGCTCTAATATGAGTTTAATTTTTGAAATTATCTCTGTATTACTTTCTAAGATGGTGAAAAATAAATTTATGTAGTTTTAAATCTATTGATAGAACATTCTAGAGCTGAAATAGTTCTATCTATTATGCTTTCCATTTTTCTGATCATAGAACTGGTTAAATAAACACAATTAAAAATACAAGAAAAACTGTTTGCAATGTCAGTTAAATTAAGCAGATTTTTTGAAAAATTTCTTGATGAGATTGCTCGCTTAAAATAAAATAAACATTTCATGAATGTGCAGAATGATAATAATGGATAATATGAATGGAATGCCATGGATGCCATGATAATGGAATGCCATGAATGATAATAATGGATAAATTTGTCAAAGGTGGAATAAAATCTATCCACCTTACTTTCGATTATAATATGACTATTAAATTTACATCAGGTTTTACCTCTTAAACACTTGATTTTTTTATCAAAATTTTAAATTTTAAAACGTGAAATTATACAGTAAAATATTTTTCTTTGAATGCATGCGCGATTGTTTATAGTAATTTCAGTCAATTTTTTCGATTAAAATTTTCTGCCCCACAAAGTGTTAAAGATAATTCAAAACACGTATATAAATGTTATATCCAAATATTTTAGATGCATTTTAATTTATTTATTCTTGTTAAGAACCAGTCATTAACTACATAATTTTACATTTTATAAATGCCAATAAAATTATAGAGTGTACAATTCTTTAAGTTGCACTACAATGTAAGGAATTCCGGATCGAATAGCAAGATGAAATAATTTGATCATTAACTATTTTGGCACTATTGGCATCATCCGTAAAAATCATTATATCATAGAATCCATTCGTATCATCAAATGTTATACCGTTAATTTTACAACAATATTTATTTAATTAGATTGATTGAGATATTTTACAGTAATTATAAATCTAAAAATCATGGTACATCAGATTTTTTGTTATTTCATTAAAAATAAATTTCACAGTAAAAGGTACCGGCACATTTTACCAGAATTTGATCCGATTTTTTTTTACAATCTACATCTAATTTCAAAAAATTACATTAATATATCCACCTTTTGCTTCAAATATCCAATTTGCAAGCAAAACTTTTTTTAAGTTGAAACCTTTAAATCTTTGTTAACGAAATAAACCAATTTAAGAAACAAATGAATTTTTACGAACGAATGAATTAACGAACGAAACAAATGAATTGTGCGAAACTAATTTGCAAATTAACTAAACAAATTATTTTTTTTTAGACAATGGAGTTTTGCTTGTGGAAACCAGACAGTGTTCAACCAGCTCACATTTACTTGCTCATATCCCGAAGAAGCAGTGCCATGCGATAGGGCTCCTGATTTCTTTTATTTGAATTCCAATGTTCTCCAAGGGGATCCAGAAGTTCCTTTCCTAAATGATCAAGATGTTCAAAACGCTGCAGCTTTTGTGCCCGGAGTCAACAGATTATCCGCTAACAGAAACGACGCACCAGCACCATCAACACCGACTCGCCGACCAATCAGGGGCTAACTTTGACTTTTCTGTCACCAAAAATAATATTTTGTTCTTCTATTGTTATAAATACTGAAACAAAAAATATCTGTGATTTAGCTTTTATGGTGCGGGGTGTTATAGGCAATTGAGGTTTAATGTACCGTTTTTTCTTCTTCCTTTATGTATTATTCTCTTGAAGCTTATTTGCTCTATTTAAATTGGTTTATAGAGTATTATCGTTTGTAAATTAAAATTATTTTGCAATTGTACTATGTTTTGTTTTGCTTAACTTAAAAACCTTATACGCTGTATGTTATTCTACTTCGTTTTCGCATTTAATTTCCTGCATAACTAAGTATATGTTCATCCGAATCATTAACTAGTTAAAATTAAGTGTTTATTTCACCATTTATGGAACATTTTATTTCAGAATAGAAGGAAGGCAAATTCCTAATAACCTCTCCTTCATATTTTATGTAAACACAAAATCCATATATCAAAGAATTAGTACAATATTTAGATAATTTTCTTTTGTATAAAATTATCATTCCGTTAAATATATGTCACAGTGTATTGAATTTTAGTGAGAATGTTCATAAAGCTCTCACATAGTAACATTTTGGTTGTTCGCTTTAAAAAAAAAACAATTTAAAAAAAATCTAAATCATTCCGCAGCAAAGTTATTCAGATTCAAGTATGATCTTATGTATCGTAAAAAATATGTGTTGGAGTTCGAAATATATTTTAAACATATTGATGTTATCAATGATTCATACGATGATTTATCTTTAATATGCATGTAAATTTAGATTGTATTATCTGGGGAAAATATGCATTTAAGTATTTAAATTAGATGTGTTGTTTATCGTCAATTTTCCATTTGATTGTAGACATTAAGTTCCCAATTGAGCATCACACTTTAAGTATCGTAATAGTGCAAAAACGGGATTTTGGGCTGCGTTTTTTAAATTGAGTTTATTATAAATTTAGAATCCTTGTACTCTTAACTTTCTAAAAATACTTGACTTTTGCTTGTACTTCAGTTATTTACGCAGTAACAGCAGTTTTTGTGCAAAATGATAACAGTGGATAGACTAATGATTTTAAGCGGCCCAGATGTTTAATACAATATAGTTCACTGCAGACTAATGATTTTAAGTCTTTAAATGCTTTTATCTTAAAATCAGATTTTTCTTCACATTTTTCACCACCTTAAACACGATAATTCATGTTTTTTTTTTTTTTTTTGTAATTTTATACAATTTCTCAGGAGTGTTTATGATTATAGTACACATGTTTTGAACTACAGACTAAAAAAAAGTCGAATTTCATTTCTTATGTACGATTTTTTGCAAAAAACAAGTGCAACATTTTCAAATTTTGCTGTTTTTGCTACATTGATTCTTAACTCAGAAGTATATGCCTCAAAGGGTGTTTTTGTTTTGGGCGATAGAGTATTTTTACAGTGTCTAACGTATAAGGCAAAAATGCCTTATTTTTACCTAAACATGGCCATTTAAAAAATAAAATTAAATAATAATACTTTTTCCGGACTTTATAAGTTTTTACACATAATGAAACAAAATTATAGTTTTTTTAAAAATTTCATATTATTTTAAAAAAAAGTTGCTGAAACTACTCGGATACTTTAAGAACGTGTTAAATATTATAGGTTTATTTAAATTCCACTAATTTTGCAGCTTTCCAAAACGATTTTATTAATATTTTTCAATACGAAGCATTCGCAAACTCTAATTAAAAATTTATTCTAGTTAAAGAATACTATCAAAAACAGTCAAAAACTGGTTTCAGAAATCTTACAAATAAAAACAAAATTGTCTGTTGAAAAGGAAGAGACTAATTGATGACAAATGGTAACCTCTAACTCTCTAAAATCTGATTAATTATCTGAAGTTAGAAAAAGAATTCAGCTTATTTGAGTTAGTTATTATTTATTAAGTTTAAGGTCATTAAGAACAAATCCTTGACATTATTTTATTTTAAAGTTCTGTGTTAAGCTTGGAATTCTGCTTAAAACCACCCAGCGAAACAAGAATAGCTTTGTTAAAGTTAAATAAATTTTAATTATGAATTCAGGAAAACTAATTAAATATCACGTAATACAATTTGATATTTGTTTTGATTATGAAAAGTTTATAATTTTAATCAACTGGCTGATTTTTAATCAAAACGATATTTGCAATGATGAATAATGCATAGTAGAAAAAACTGAATTTTAGAAATTATTTAATTGCACATTTAACCCTATTTAAAAAACCGGAAATAAATCTACTTTGATATGTTTTATTGTTGCGAATACTAAGAAGTTGGTTAGCACACGCATCGTAAATATTTTACATTGAAAATATGCTTAGAAATAATTTTTCGTCTTTTTTTTATTTTGTTTAACCGAATATATAATTAAGCTTTCAATTTTTTTCAAAAAATTACAATCAAATTTAAAAAATACACTTTTTTTTCACCACTTTTTAGCTAGAGTCCCTGTATCTAATCTAGTGAGAGAATTACGGCTAGCAGCTTCAAGAACATGGTATTCATAGAGTAAGGCATAAGAATCGGTTATCACTCTCATACTTCAATTTACTACGTGTCAAAATAATGTTTACTGTATCGAGATATTGGGTTTTTTAAAAGACAAATATTCAAAGTTGTAACAGGAAAATATTAAATGTAACTTATAGTTCGCTGCAACCTTTAATACTACAGTTATGCTCTCAGCAAGCAACACTTGTGAACTGCAAAAAATTTCGGAGAAAATTACGGTAAAAAGTTCTGGCACCCTGAATGCTGGTACTCTCCACAGAATGATATAAATTTTAATCGTAAAATTTTATGGAACAAAAATCCTGATATATCATAATTTTTACTGTAATACGTACTGTAATTTCCCTCAATCGCTGTAAGTAAATATTAATGTAAAAATTATGGTTTAAAATTTTACCTTAAAATGGATTTTATGAACGTTGCACTCACGATGCAAATACTTTTTACACTAATTTAATCTGGGATTTTTTAAATTTTTTTTATCAAAAAACTAATTATTTATTTGTCATACCATATCATAAATAACTGGATATAATTGAAAAGTATTGTTATTATAATATTTAAACGCTTATTATTTTACAAACAAATGATACACATGTTAAGAAATACAAGCGAGTTAGTCAAGGACCAGGTACTTTTTTTTAGATTTGATTTCTTCGGCATTAATAAGCCGATATCAGTACTTTTCACAAGTCTGTCTGAGTTTTTCATTATCTAATATCATTTTTTGCCACTGGTACAAATATCAATTATGAATAATAATTTTTCTTTCAAATAATATAATTACGATTCAGAATATTTATATGAAATGTATATTTCTCAAAGTCAGAAGCGATATATGCGCTGAGGAAAAAAATACCAGAATATGGTAAAGTTTACGGTGTTTCTGGTTTTATTGGAACACCAGAGAACTTGCTCCTTTTTACCTCCTTTTTACTTAATGATTTAGATAAAATTAACAGTAAACATGGTTCTCTAATGTAAAGCAAAATTTAGTAAAAGGGGAAAATTAAGTAATTTTTCAGGATACCGAATAGAATGGCATAACAACCATTTATTTCGTAAAATATATTTTCCAGTCTTGTATTTTTTGTGGTAAAAGTGTGGTAATAAGAAATAAAATTTGGAAAATCAGAATTTGCGATAAACCATTACCATATGAATGGAAAAATTACCATATGAATGGCTTAAATACCGAATATTTTGGTTTTATTAACCTGAATTCAGTTTTTCTCTCTTACCAGAAAGGTAAAAGAAAACAAACCTGACTGTATGGTAATGATTTCAGTGAGCCAAATCGTATACCAGCACTTGGTGCTGATATTTTAAGTATTGATTTTGGACCTTTTAACTTATTTTAGGTCGAATATATAATTTTTTCTTGTACGGATACCAGCCGTTTGGATGTTAAATTATTTAATTTCATTCACGATGATTTCTTCATGGAGGGGCACTTTTTCAGAAACATAAGATTATTTTTAAATTAAAAGTTTTAATAATATTGCATTTTTTATAATTATATTTCACATTTTTCTTTATATTTTGTCTTATTTTAGTGCGCAGATCAAGCGACAATTAGAATTATCATATTCGGAAACAAAAATCAATTGAAAGCCGTAATGCAATTAACTTAGATCCTTAAATTGTTCAACAGCAAATTTTTAAATCTGTTAATAGTTAAAAATTTCGATGTAGATAACGAAACGCTTCTGTGTACTTTTATCTAATAGAAGTTCCAAAACTTTTGAAAACATTTGGCTATTCGCTACAATACCCAAAGATTTTCAACTTTCCAAAACTGTCAATTACATTAATTGAGAAAACGTGTGGAAAAGAATGAAGAAAACAACATTATATAAGTTACGTAAATTAAAATTTAACAAGCTATTAGCAATTTATTGTTGCATTGAGCTTTATTTCAAACAAAGTACATTGTAATATCCAAATATAAAGCCTGTTATTTACCGGTCTTTATTTTGTTACACAGTGTAAGATGGGATCGTGAGGGTCGAGTTCATCGTTTACTCCATAATTCCATCTGAATTTTCAGGCACCATACCAATTCTATTAACTAGAACACGACCTAGTAATGATGCATAGGTTGAAACATTTGACTTTTTGAGGGAAAGTGAGACAGTCCCATTACAACACCAAAAGCTGGCAACTGTTTTGGCAGGCAGCATTTTAAAATTGATGGATGGATCCCAGATGAATGAGTCGGCAGCTGTTCCATAAAGGTTTAAAGAATGACCTTCAAAGGTCTTTTTTGAAAAGTTTCACTCTTTTGTAAGACATCTTTAAAATTCCGCTTGTATTCTCTTACTCTTTTGAAACATAATATGGTACGTGGCATGGGATGATCATTAATTTCATTTCTCAAATTCCTTATTATTTAATTTGTTTTTAAATAAAAATTGTTTGAAAGCCGTATTTGTTTTAGACGACTGCATTAAATTGAAATAATTTAATTCACCAGTATTGATGAAAATTGCAAAATCTAAATAAAATAAAAAGGTTATCGATTCAATAACAGTGATAGTGAATTAAGTCAAATTTATACGAAATTAAGAAATCAATTGAGTTAATTCGATAGAATTAGAAATTTTACTATTATGCTTAGAAATTGAATGAAATCAGTTGAGTTAACTTACATAAAGCTGATGTTTCATTCGATAATTCATAATCTGTAAAAAATATTATAAATA